AGTCCCAGCACTCAGGAGGCAGAGGAAGGTGAATTTCTGAGTTTGAGGCCAACTTGGTCTATAGAGTAAGTTTCAGGACAGTCAGGGATACAGAAAGAAATCCTGTCTCAAAAGGTCAAAAAAAGAAGTATCAAAACTCAATCAAAAGTCTTTCTGAATGAAGTATTTTATCTGAAATGAGCTCTCCAAAAGCACGGTATGGTGAAACTTCATCAACTTGACTTGGTTTATATTACCTAGGAGTGAACTTCTGGGAGTACTGGAGGTGTTCCCAGAGATGTTTAGCTGAGGGAAAACCCATGCTAAGCCATGGGACAGGGTCTTACACCAGATGAAAATGAAAACAGGTGACAACACGAGCACTGGCATTCATTTACTGAGTGTGACACAATGCGGCCAGCTGCCTCACACTCCCCCACCACACACCATGATGGATTCCCTCACACTATGAGCCTAAATAAACCCTTCCTTCCTTAAGTTGCTTCCGACAAGTATTTGATCACAAAAGTAGGTAAAGTAACTACTACACAAGGTATAGCACAGTATATGAACAAGTATCTATCTGCTACTTTGAAAAGCCATCACACAAGGCATAGTGGTTCATGTCTTTAATCCCAGCAGAGACAGGGTGGGGTGTGAGAGGGGAGTCCTGAGTTTGAGGCCAGCCTGGTCTACAGAGTGAGTTCCAGGACAGCCAGGACTACACAGAGAAACCCTGTCTCAAAAATTAAAACAAAATACAAAACAAAGAACAAACAAAAAACAAAGCATCATAGTTTTTATTTATTGTTTTTAGTTTTATTAGGTATATGAATGCTTTAACTACATGTACAACTTTATGCCAAAATAGGGAATCAGATCCCACTATAGCCACTATGTGACTGCTGGGAACTGAACTCAGGATCTCTGGAAGAGCAGCCAGTGCTCTTAACCTTTGAGCCATCTATTCAGCCCCCTTGGTTTTTATTTTTACTCAACCATTAAACATATTGTGCAACTAAAGTTGTGTGATTTAAATGTAGCAATTAAAACAATAAACTTGGCTTATCTGATCTGCTATAGTAACTTGCTTAAAGTGGATATTATTTAAAAAACCTATCATACTAGACATACTAATAACAAAACTACACTGAAAAGAGAGAGAGGGTTCGGTGGGTAAGAACATTTGCTACTTTTCTAAAGGACTTGAGTTTGATTCCTAGCACCTACATTAGGTGGCTCATAACCACCTCTAATCTGGCTCCTGGGACTCTGACATTCTCTCCTGTCTTCTAGATATCCACAGACATGTGGCATACAAATATGCAGATACACATATAAATAAAAGTGAAACAAACCTTTTAAAAAGCAGTATTGAAATATATATAGTATTTATTAATCTAAATATTTATATAGTTATAAATATTAAACAATAAACTAATAATTTATAGATATTTAATAATAAACTAATATTAATAGTTTAGCACAAAAATTCCTCAATATCAGAAGTCTTTTTTTAATTTTGCTTTGTTTGTTTTCAGGTGTTTGGAGTGTTTTGTTGTTGTTTTGAGACAAGATTTTAAACAACCCGGGCTAGGGGGCTCGAGAGATGGCTCAGCGGTTAAGAGCATTGCCTGCCCTTCCAAAGGTCCTGAGTTCAATTTCCAGCAACCACATGGTGGCTCACAACCATCTGTAATGAGGTCTGGTGCCCTCTTCTGGTCTGCAGGCATACAAGCAGAAAGAATATTGTATACATAATAAATAAATAAATAAATAAATAAATAAATAAATAAATAAATAACCCAGGCTAGCCTAGACCTTCACTATGTAGCTGAAGGTAACCCTGAATGATTATCCTGACTTCATCTCCTAAGTGTTGAGATTACAGACATAAATCATCACATTCAATAAAGTCCATCTTTTTTCCTTTCTTGAAGCCATGGGGAACTCACACCCATAATCTTACACACGATAGGAAGCAGCCTACCACTAAGCTAAAACCCCAGCATCAGAGTCCATTTTTCTTAACAGTGTATAGAAACCTAAGTCTTCCTGTTAATAAAACCTAGCTGTATTGAAACATGCATCACAGAATATAATGCTGTATTGAGTAATTGTTGTCAATAAATTAAATGGGAAACAAATAGACCAGTAAGTTTAGTCCTCATTCTTACAAGAATTTTCTCTGTAATCTTGAGTAAATTTTATAACTTTTGTGCTTCATGTGCCCTTCTTCTATAAGTAACATAAGGTGTTTTATCCAATAAATGAGGGGAAAATGTTAAGTTAGAGTCTGTCCAGGAGCTGAGTATTGTTGTGGGAGTATCTTCCGCTGCCTCAGCCAATAGTCGCTGAAGCACGAGCCCACAGGGGAGCGCCTTCCACTCTGTCAGCCAATAGCCGCTGAAATACCAGCCCACTGTGGCGTGGTATATTTCTCTTTTAAAAAGAGACACAGATCCTGGATCAGGCTCTCTTGGTTATGGCGCTTGGTCCCGGCTCCTGCTCCAGCGACTAGGCTCCCTTCCTGACGGTTTATGTTGTATGTAAGTTTTACCCCCCAAAATAAATAACCCCTTAAAACATAACTGGTGTGGGATTGATTCGCCAATAGGGTATAAACCACAGTGGCAGAGCATTTACCTGAGTCCAATCACCAGTATCACGGGATGGACAGACAGTCAGACAGACAGACACACACACACATGACAGGGGACTACAAGACAGAGACTATAAAACAAACAAATAAATGAAAACTTATTTGCTCCTGATTCTCACAGAGGGTAAACAGATTTTCAGGAAGAAAAGATATATTTCTTCTTAATTACTTCAATATAGGATAACAGAGCAGACCCAGAATGAATGAATCAACTAATGAATGAATGAGCAAAAAAACAAAACAAAAGTGGGCTGGGACTATATGTTAGTGCTTATCTAGCAAGCTGCAAGGGCTTTGATTCCATCCTTAGTGCCAAAACCAAACTACAACAACACCTCAGGGTTTAGGTGGCTTCTAGAGAATGGTAAATATATCACACAAGATACTCCAATTTATGAAACTCTGTAAAAGCAGAACACACTTGTGTAGTAACTGGCCATCCCGTCCCCCGCCCTCTTCCTCCCTGCCTCCCCCCTCCAGGGCCCTGAAGGATTCCTGAGTTCTAGAAGAAGCCAACTCAGGGCAGGTGTTACCAGAGAGGGCCTCTGAAGATAAAGACAGGTTTGTTTAGGAAATGGGAGCCCTCTAAAGAGCAGAACTTTCATTGGTGTCTAGGAAATATCCTTAAAGCCCTTTCATTGTTTTCCCCAACTTCCTATTACTCTAGAGACTCTGACTTCTGTTACTGTGTAAACCATAGTTCCTTTCAGGAGCACTGCTTCAGGGAGAGCAAAAGAAAGCAGAGAATAACACTATAAACACCTCAAACTCAGCAAGACCGGGGATCAAATCTTAAACTCTACTTTGAGTTGTATGGACATGGGCTGATCTCTGAGTAATGGAGACAAAATGCTACAAGTGGACATGGCACTGGGGCTGAGGAGATGACTCGGTGATAAAAAGAGGATCAAGGTTTGATCTCCAGCATTCACAAAGCAGTTCACAACCATCTGTAACTCCAATTCCAAGGGCTCTGATGCCTTCTTCTGCAGCCATGGGAATCTGGTATGTACATACATGCAGGCAAAATCCATACACATAAAATAAAAATAAGTAAATCTTAAAAAAAACACACACCCATAACCTAGACATGTACCTACCTTGAATACAGAAAGCCCTTGACAAATGCAACTGTGATTTTTATAGAACAAGACTGCGGGGTAGGAGAGTGGGTGGAGGCCATGGAGAAAACTGCCTGAAGTACTTCTCCTGCCTTTTCACCGAGACCAAATAGATGTCTGGCATTCTAATTCCCTAGAGAGGAATGGATGCCATCAACCCATCTAAAATGAAAGTGCATTAGACAGATCAGAGCAAAGTTAGAATTTATACTGTGAGCTATTTTTAAAACTGCCAGCTTAGCAAATTAAATGGCTGCGAAGATCTCCTGGTTTCCATTCACAACAAACACAAGACAAGGCACTCTCCTTTAATGAGTCTGGCCTCCTGGCAGCACAGTCTAGTCTGCATAATTCATTCCTAAGGGTTTAGGAAACATCGTTTTCTTAAGATATACCAAAATATTTTCTAGGAAAAAAAAAAGGAGAGAGAAAGACGAAGAAGAGGAGTTTTTCTTTAGAGATTTTTGGTAAATCCTATGAATCACCTTCCCATTCAATTTAGGAAACTACTGTCTAAATAAAAATGGAGTTAGGTCAGTGCTTTAAGCCTGTCTTAAGAGTTTTTCCTTTAAAAGGGCGTATGAAAAAAACTGGTCTACTTTAAAACACAATTTTCTAAATCCTACAACAGATTAAGGGAAATAAAATCTATTCATCCCCACTAAAAAGCCACACCATAGGTGCCAAATGGAAGTTTAAAACCAGTCACCTTTTCAGAAGTTAGAAGAGATAAATCCTGAACTACTGAGAATGTTGGCTAAGTTATGGTATTTACAGCCCCGGTTCCATTAGATTAAAACGTTAAAATGTTAAATAATGATAGATGTTTCAATTACCACTGGAATTGAATTTCAGGAAGTACTATGCACATACTTGGGGTGTGCAAGCAGCCCATTAATTGAGCCTCCTTCATGAAGACACTGCTAAGGAAAGGAAGCACCATTTCATACTTTTTTTGGAAAACACCCAAACTTAATTAGTTCAATTTGGAACATCCTGAGCCTTAAAGCCTTTACTCAAGCATAACATAAATTTTGATTAGCCAAGTGTGAAAAACAACAAAGCCAACTTTCTTGTCCCTCTAGTTGGTCTATAAATAGAAGCAATGAACCAACAAAGCAATTGGTATGCTCTACTGTATCTCAGCAAACTGTAGCCCAGCAAACTTGCTCTCAGCACACTGAACCAAGTGCTTCTGAGGATCTGTGATAGGACCCTTTTAATAAACTGTGACTCACTGTTTGTTTTCTTCTCCAGGAGGTGGAGTCTTGCCATGCCCTTCCATTACAAAATCCTCCTGTTCCACCTGCAAAAGCAAGCACCATGGGTCAGCAGTAGTCAGTACTATGATGAGACTTACTCCAGTGCCAGGCCCTGCTCTGTGCACACCCAGAGGGCCATGTCACTACAGTGTCTAGAACAGAAGTGAGACTTTTGTTCTCCAGGTGTGCTCAGGATGAAAAAGGAAAAGTGTTGATAAGCAACTCACACAACTGTGACAAGTGATTAGTATCAGGAACATAACAGATTGTCTAAGAGTCAATGAGAAAATACCAGCCCATGAAAACCCTGCAAAACTACTGGGTGGGAGTGTCACTGAAGAGAAGACGTGAATTGTCCCTAAACACATGAAAAGCTGCTTAATTTCATGTCAATCAGAAAAATGCAAATTAAAACCACAAAGAGATACCTTTTCACAACCACCAGATTGGGTAAAATGGCAAAGCCCAGCAGCATGGAGTGTTAGCAGAGATGAGGAATATGGCAACTCTCCACTCATAGTGGGAGGGAAAACTGGTACGACGACTTTAAGAAAGTTTGCCCTTACTTGGTACATTTGAATACACACTCATCATACAAACTTCAAATACATATTTCTAGGTGTATGCTCTAAAGGATCTTTTATACATATACAAAAGTATCTATTTGGTATTATATTCTCTGTCCCCCCCCCCCC